ACACCGGCACTACACCGCGCGTCCCTGTACAATGCGGGCAGCGATTGCCCTGCGGTCCCATTGATTTCAATGGGGTGACATTCGCGTGGCAATCGCGGGAAAAAAGGTACAAGCAGTGGCGTCACACGGGGGGTGCGGCCCGGGTGTCACCATTGGAGGGGTGACACCAAAATGACTGGCAGTCATTTTGGTGTCACCCCCTATGCAAAGTCGGGCACTCGGTCACGGACCGAGAGCCCGACAGTGTCAAGAGAGAGGAGAGGACCCGGCGGCATACCTCATCCGGACGGGTGAACGCCCCCTACACTCTCTGCCGGCGTGCATCACCAAGATGGCCGCTGGCAGGCGTCAAGACAACCGCGCCTGCGCGATGACGGTAACATCACGTGCGTGCGCCATGACGTCACAGAGGGGTGTCACCCGCTCTCCGTTCCGGGTGTCACCCGCTCTCCGCTCCGGGTGTCACCCAGCCTCGGGACGCCCCTGGGTACAAGTACCTTCTTTTTGCGATGCACAACGCACATCTGTTTTATCGTGTTCGGAATGGCGGCGGGAAACCGCGCGGCGCGACAGGGGTGCCATTAGAGAATAATGGCACCCACAGCGCAATCGGTTCACACCTTGGCGACTCCTGACCGTGCAGAATCGTGCACGATTGCCGCGCGGCGAAGTGTCGCCTAGCCTCATGGTCACGTACATGGCGCAGCTGAATCCTGGAAGCTGCGATGGCCCGCAGATCAGCCGCGCTTGATGCCGCAGAGACCCCCCTACCCTGGAACTAGTACCACATCCAGGGTGCAGCCAATGGCAGCCGTCAGTGCTGGACGAGGCCCTCGCCCGGGACGGCTTACAACTCGCCTGGCCTTCTTGTCCTGATGACGGCTGTTAAGATGTTTATCCTCTGGCTTCTCTGGCAGGTTTTGCGCATGAGTTCTGAGCTCCGCCCACCCGCAGCAGCCAATGCGATGGGAGTCTCACGCTCCCCTTCGAATTAAACTCGACGAATATGAATTGCCCAGCAAAGGATCTCTTTATCCCAAGCACTTCCAGTCGTCACGTTTCCAAACCGCTCCAACTCCCTCAGCTCGGCTTCCCTGAACTTCCTGTCCAGTACAAGATCACGAGTGAGAGCGCAGTCTCCAGCAGCCGTCCACCGACAGTACTAGCTTTGGAGGAGGGGAGAGCGCAGTGGCTTGCCGTGCTGTGACTGTGTGTTTTGTGGAGACGCACACATAGCTTACTAGCACACACAAGGGTGGCTCCGTAGGACCCTGCAAGGGAAAGGAGCCCCCCTAAAACAGGATGTCAGGGCTGATACCGGATTTAGTTTTTGGCGTGAGGTGCAGCGAGGAGTCTACGTCACATTTTATTGTTGCGAGCAGGATGTGAGAAGAAACGTTTGACATGTTCGGACTGTTTGAAGTAACCTGCACTCACTTGTTCCTGGAACATTCCTAAATCTATTCGGCACGCTCCTCGTCAGCAAATCTTATGCCCTTGAAAGGTCCCGCGTGCGTGTAACGGGTTCATTGGGTACAGGGCGTTCTCAATGATCCAGATGTCTTCCTGTCCCTGGATGACCCCGGTCTTCTTTGGG